TACTTCTACTTATTTGGAATATTAAATACACAATGTCTGTAGATGTTTGTATATTTGCTATTTTCAACTTGTGTATCTCAAAGCAGCCAACATTTGAAGTGCGCAACAGAATGTTCCCATGAGCATAAAAGACGTTGGAGAGCTTTTTTGATACAGATGAATAACACTCGTTACATTTAATAAGTGGACTCAGCTGGGAAATGTATGACTTTTTTGTATTTTCTTTTTAGTCCCTGATTAATAGAAATAACTATATATAATTGCATAGAATTAGAACATTCTTTAGTATTTTAATTAGTGAAACACAGTGACACATTGATATCAGAAAAAGGTTTCCTCCTTACGGTCAGGGATATGACATCCCATTTCACTCTCTGAGGCACCGTGGATTTCAGAACAAGCAGAGGTGAGTAATGTTTAGCCCTTATATTTATTTATTTATTACTGGTATTTATAAAACACCAACAGATTCTGCAGCGCTGTACAGTTAGTGGAGGACGTACAATAAACACAGACAAATACAAAAAGTAGAGAGGGCCCTGCCCGTAAACTAAAATCTAGCCATTGAAGCTCTTTTATACAAAGTGCTTAGCTAGATTGCCTGTGAGCTTACAATCTAAAGGTAAAATAGGGAAATGAGACAAGAGGTAGCATTGGAAATTGAAATTGATGGAGAGAATTTGTAGTGTGACTGCAGTGATTAACAACATGTGAAGGGAATGGGGAGGTGATTGACTGTGGTTAGAAACAGCTGGAGGAGTCATGCTATATAGTTTGAAGGAACCAGGGTGGACAGGAGAAGGGGTGTGTGGGTAGAGTAGAAATTGAGAGGTTCAGTTGCTGGGATGGATGGAAAATTGGGCCTGAGGGAGAAGATGGATGCACAGTTATATAAAGGAATTTACACAGCTAGGAGTGGCAAGGAGGGAAGGGGGAAAAGGGTGGTGGAACAGACTAGCCATTTGTTGCACATATTAAAATATTTGCCTATTAAATCCTATCAGCCAGATTATTAATTACTACAGATAACTGCACGTACAAATATTACAGTAGCAAACTATAAGTAAAAATGATAACATTAAAAGTAAATTAATATGTAGTAAAAAGGTGGAAGGAATCCGATGAGGCATCTGCTGAATCACAGTCCATACCTTAAAACAGCAGAGTAGAAATGGAGATTCTCAGTTGCTAGGATAGATGGAAAATTGGGCCTTAAAACAGCAGAGTAGAAATTAAGATTCTCAGTTGCTGGGATGGATGGAAAATTGGGCCTTAAAACAGCAGAGTAGAAATGGAGATTCTCAGTTGCTGGGATAGATGGAAAATTGGGCCTTAAAACAGCAGAGTAGAAATGAAGATTCTTAGTTGCTGGCATGGATGTAAAGTAAAGTGAAGTAAAGTAAGTAAGTTATATTATGTTTGAGATATGCTTTCAGATCTGTGAGTAATATAGTCTTTCTCAGTACATTTTCTTTTTTATGGGATTCACAAGTAACTAGAACATATATCTATTAATACCCTGTTGCAGTAGTATATCTCTATCTATAGACTGTAAGTTCATTTGAGCAGGGTCCTCTTCAATCTATCGTTCCTGTAAGTTTTCTTGTAATTGTCCTATTTATAGTTAAATACCCCCTCTCATAATATTGTAAAAAAAAAAAAAACAGAATGAAAAATATGGATGATATGTGGTGTATTTTGTATCTGTGAACATCTCTAAGTGTCTTGTGTTATATAAAATGAACTTTAATTGACACTGTATGGTTTCTTTTAATAACAAATTTAATATCTATGATTAAGAAATGTCGTATTGGCATTACTACTTGGTAACATAAAGCATTTTAGCAGTAGGGAATTACCATAGATGTCACAAATATTCATACCTTGAGAATTGTTTCACTAGTATCATAGATACAAATAGATACAGATTAATATGGTATGGATTTTCATTAAATGTTACACACTCTTGGGAGAGACAAGTGTCTTTCCTTGGGCTGCTTTGTGCCAGAACTTTACTTATGCAGGGGATGGCTAGATATGCCTATTTATAAAACTGCAAGCCTTGCTAAAAGAAAATGCACAGAAAAAAAAGCATATTAATTAAATGGTTACCCCACTTCCTCTAGCATATAAGCTCACTGAGCAGGGTCCTCAACCCCTCTGTTCCTGTGCATCCAACTTGTCTTGTTGCGATTACAAGTCTGTTAGTACACCAATAGTAAAGCGCTACAGAATTTGCTGGTACTTTATTAATAATAAGATAATAATAAAAAAAAATTATTTGTTATGACAGTAACTCACTTGCAATTTAGTTTTCAATGGGCACTCACAAATATATCCTAAAGTGTTTAGGCAATATTATGCTGTAAGATATTGTGTTGTCAGCGCTTAGTGAATAATCCCCTTAGATATAATCAGGGGTAAAGGTCTTAACAAATGTATCTATAATAATTAGAAACAGCAATAGCATATAGTGTTAAGAGTGTCAATATAACTGATAGTAACAATCAGATTGTAACAAAAAAATCTAAATTGCATCTCAGTCCAGTATAAAATATGTAGCAGGGTCCAAAGTGACAGGAGGTCCACAGTGTTGTTTTCAAAATCTTGAAAAAGCCCACTAACCGGAGGCAGAATTACAAAGAGGAGAACTTTTACTGAATCCACAGCCAGCCTCAGTGCACGAGGCAAACGCTCTGGAGGCATCCTTGAAGTAGAGGAGAGATAAGACTGCAGCCAGATAAGCTTTTATTGTGGTCCTTAGAGATAAGCACCACAGTTTTCTTCTGTAAGGGTTCCTATGTTGGGGAGGGGGATTCCATTGGTGTTTTAAGACATTAAATACAGTATTGCACTATATATATTTTCTGTCTTTTTTAAGGGATTCAAAGTCAAAGATTGTGTTCCCAAACAACACTGTGGACCTCCTGTCACTTTGGACCCTGCTACATATTTTATACTGGACTGAGATGCAATTTAGATTTTTTTTGTTACAATCTGATTGTTACTATCAGTTATATTGACACTCTTAACACTATATGCTATTGCTGTTTCTAATTATTATAGATACATTTGTTAAGACCTTTACCCCTGATTATATCTAAGGGGATTATTCACTAAGCGCTGACAACACAATATCTTACAGTTTATTCATTGAATTTGGGAAGTTCTTTTTTTGTTTAGCAGCTATTATCTAGAGGTACTTTGTACCATTCTCTTATAAGTATTATTGTATATCTTTTTTGTGCACTCTCTTTCACCCTTTTAAATATTATGCTGTACTGGCATTATTTAAATTGCATTATCACGATAATTCTTAAAATATACTCTTACAAATAATAATATTGTTTTTATGTTATATTGTTTTATTTTTGTTTATATACACAATTTTTATACCGATATGTGTCTGTGTGTATATATATATATATATATATATATATATATATGTCTATCGGTATAACAATTGTGCATATGAGCAAAAATAAAACAGTATAACATAATGTTATAGCTTGAATATTCATATTTGAATGTGTATATTTTAAGATTTATCGTGATAATGCAATAGATATGAATCATAGATTTTTTTTTACTATGTTTTAAAATAACAAATGTTGCAAAAATATTTCTAACAATAATTAAAAGCAGTATTTATATGGTAGTTTAGTTTACCCGATTAGACTTTTAAAAATGATTAAACACTAGAAGTGCAAAGACAAAGAAAAGTTACAAAAAGTTTTGACTTTGTTGATTTCAGAGAATGAAGGTCATTTAAAACTCTGAGATACTTTACATATGGTCATATGGTATATGAAATTTACCACTATAAGTTTATGTTGCACTACACAATATTTCACAGAATTTAAAATCTCTTCAGTTTTTATTATTACTAAGTTTTATCAATTGGATTATTGATGCCACAATGGATTTATAGTCTAGCAGTATTTTGATGTCTATGTATACTTAGAAACATAATAAAAGGTAGCATTATTTTATCACTATTGTTGTTAGGCTAGGGTATGCTGAGCTATTTAGGCACAGTGGGTGGAAAATTGGGTGTTCTCAGGTGTTCTTGTATGTGGGTGGAAAATTGGGTTTATATTGTATTACCAATATAAACCCACTACTGACTCACAGAGCTTGCTCACTGGGGTTTGCTTGAAAGTAGGCTATTTAAAGTAGTCTCTTTTAAAGAATGGGTTGAAACAACAGGAGTTTCAACTATAAGCGAGTTTAACCTCTTAAGGACCAAACTTCTGGAATAAAAGGTAATTATGACATGTCACACATGTCATGTGTCCTTAAGGGTTAAATCAAGAGGGTAAATATTGGTTTGCTCACTTGTGTTTTTGGTAACTGGAGATGAGTGCTAGCAAGTGAGTTTTACTCAGTCCACATCCTGCTGCATGTATGCATGCCTGGGTGAATCTGTCCAGGGTCCATACCTCTTTGGCAGGTGTGAGCGAGTGTTTTTTTCTGGAAGCTCAGATTGGAGATCTGGAGAGGCAAATTGCAACACTGATGGAGACTGACAATCTTGAGAGGAGTCTTCTGCTCACTGAGCAGAGTTTAGTAGGGACAGGTAGTAGGGACAGGTAGTGGAGTGGGAAGAGATGAGACAGTTGGTGAACAGGCACAAAGCTGGGTAACAGTGGGGTGAGGAAGCATGGGGGGAGGGAAGAGGAAAGGTTTAGCTGGTCCTGATCTTGTGCAGCCCAACAGATTTGCCTGTTTGAGTGAAGATGTTGGTAGCATCAGCTCAGGAGCAGCTGCACTGCAGGAAGCTGTTCCTTCTAACAGCTGTGGGAACAGCTCCTCTAGTACTGGTGGAGATAAGAGTGCAAGGAAGGCTAGACAGGTTGTGGTGGTAGGGGACTCTATTATTAAAGGAACACTATAGTCACCTAAATTACTTTAACTAAATGAAGCAGTTTTAGTGTATTGATCATTGCCCTGCAATTTCACTGCTCAATTCACTGTCATTTAGGAGTTAAATCACTTTGTTTCTGATTATGCAGCACTAGCCACACCTCCCCTGGCTATGATTGACAGAGCCTGCATGAAAAAAAAACTGGTTTCACTTTCAAACAGATGTAATTTACCTTAAATAATTGTATCTCAATCTCTAAATTGAACTTTAATCACATACAGGAGGCTCTTGCAGGGTCTAGCAAGCTATTAGCAGGGGATAAGAAAATCTTAATTAAACAGAACTTGCAATAAAGAAAGCCTAAATAGGGCTCTCTTTACATGAAGTGTTTATGGAAGACTGTGCAAGTCACATGCAGGGAGGTGTGACTGGGTTCATAAACAAAGGGATTTAACTCCTAAATGGCAAAGGATTGAGCAGTGAGGCTGCAGGGGCATGTTCTATACACCAAAACTGCTTCATTAAGCTAAAGTTGTTCAGGTGACTATAGTGTCCCTTTAAGAGAGTAGATAGGGTAATCTGCCACTCTGATAGTCTCAACCGGACAGTTTGCTTTCTCCCGGGTACTCGGGTCTGGCATGTTGCTGACAGAGTGGAGGGATTATTGGGAGGGGCTAGGGATGACCCAGCTGTCATGGCCCATACTGGTACCAATGACAAAGTCAGAGGAAAATGGAAGGTCCTAAAGAATGAGTACAGGGAACTAGGAAGTACGCTTAAGAAAAGGACCCCCAAGGTAATATTTTCAGAAATATTACCTGTGCTGCGCGCTGCAGCAGAAGGCCTACGGGAGATTAGAGAGGTCAATACGTGGCTGAAGACTTGGTGCAGGAAAGAGGGTTTGGGTTTTTTAGAGCACTGGGTCTATTTTACGCTTGGGTACAACCTGTATAGCCATGATGGATTGCACCTAAATGGAAGAGTGTCTGCTGTGCTGGGGGATAGGTTGGCTAGAAGGTTGGATGATATTTTAAACTAATAGTAGGAGGGTAGGGTCAAAGCAATCTATAAAATGGAGATAGGATAGAAAGGAGATGGGCTTTAGCTCAGCATAAGGGGTGGTGGAGATGGGAGGGAGGGGCAAGCTCAGAATAGAGGAGATTGATAAAAATTTACAAAAAGTACAAATGACTCATGATAATATTAAATGTATGCTTACTAGTGCATAGAGCCTATATAACAAAATGGAGGAGGCAATAGCATGCACTAAACAATATGATATAATAGGCATAACAAAACACTTAGTCACAAACACTGGCCAAATATTAGTTTTTTGTTTTTTTCACACAAAAACAAATATGAACGCTTACTTTGGCCAGTGTTTGTGACTAAGTGGCTACTAAAAAAGACTAAACATACCCCACTTTCAATACCATGGGTTGTCTACGTTTTCAAATGATATAACATTATGGGGGTAATTCTCATTTCTGGGCTACCACACCGTCTCAAAGGTAACATTAATAATTTGAAAATGGAACGTTCTATATTTGACCCTGTAACTTTCCAAAACACCATAAAGTGTGTTAATGGGGTGTACTGTTGTACTCGTGAGACATCGCTGATTACAAATATGTGCATTTTTTTGCAGTAAAACCTAACAGTATTATAACATTCACAGCTAAAATGTCAGACGGAAATACAAATTTTAAAAAAAAACGTATTTTCTCACATTTTTTATAATTTTATTCATAATAAATTATGTTCCATATATGAATAGTTAATGATAAATTAAAAGCCCTGTTTCTCCAGAACAAAATAATATATATTAAGTGTGGGTGCACTTAATGTGACAGCGGTGAATTACGGTTGAACAGACATATAGTGCAAATTCCAGTTTTTGTTTACCTTTTGTTTTGATCAGAACATGCACTATTGACTCCGTCCTGAAGGGGTTAATGAGGAAGAACAGCTGCTAGAGCAAATTGGGAAAGCTGCACATCTGGGTAACATGTTAATTATTGGAGATTTTAATTACTCAGACATAAATTGAGATAGAATGACTGGTACTTCTGCAAGGGGAATCAAGTTTTTGAATGTGTTAAATAACACCTTCATGTCACAACTGGTACAAGCACCAACTAGAAAGGATGCTTGTCTGGATCTCTTTTGACCAACATTCAAGTAGGGGAGCATGTGGGAAATAGTGATCACAATATGGTGTTTTCTTAAATAAACTCAAAAAAGCAAAAGCATGTGGGGTATACTACAATGTATAGGTCCTCTTCCGTTTGTTTGATGACGTAGGAGGAGCACACATGCATCCTGAGGAGGGGAGGCAGAGCTTAGGTGATGGAATGTTCGCGAGCAGCAAGGAAATCAGCTAGCACGAGTAAAAGCTTCAGTTGTTTAGGAGATGCCAGGTAAAAAAAAATAAGGATAAATATGAAAGTATTTAAAATAGTCTGGAAAATACTTTTATGTAGATTAAAACACAACGCATTTCACCACAAAAAAGATGTACACTTGAAGAAGCCTTTTGTGGCGAAACGCGTTGTGTTTTAATCTTCATAAAAGTATTTTCCAGACTATTTTAAATACTTTTATATTTATCTTTATTTTTTTTTACCTGGCATATCCTAAACATCTGAAGCTTTTATACCATCCAAAGAATCCATGGTGGGGATCGTACCACCCAGGCGCTTTACACAGAGCGGTTTGTCTGCTCTGTAAATTTTTTGGGTCTTCAGCAGCAGGATTACAGAAATGGGAAATCCTGTGAATCAGAGCACTATATATTTTATTTCTCTTTCCTGGGTCGAATAATACCAACTTGGACGTCGAATCTGAGCCAGATACTCGTCAATCAAATATTACTCCGCATATCCTTGAGTGGGGATTATTCCACTTTACGTGCGCTATATCAGAGCTAGGTTTTAGCTCTGAAAAGTGTGAGTAAGACCATTTTTATTTTACATACTATTTTATTCATCTATATACTGTGCCATTGGAGTTCCTTTTTGTCTTTTCTCCACATATGTTCCACTGGATTTCAAGCACAATACTGTGAAGACGAACTCCATTTTACGTCTCAGAATCCCTGTTCTTACACGTGGCATCTACCATTACGGACTTATGATAAGTGTTTTGGACTATTGCCAACTATTTATTTTACAATTCATTTAATATTTTATATTAAATTTTACTATACTATATTACTTATTATATACAATTTTTATATGTTTTATTGTATATTTTAGGCGCAACCTTATTTTGTTCTGTTTTGAATTTCTACTTGCCAGAAGAGGCCCGCAGCAATCAAGTCGCTCAAACATACTAAAATGGCTGATCAATGTTAGTTTGGCAAGAATGCAGTAAGGATTGCAAAGGAAAAAAAAACCAAAACTTGCATTTGAATAATTGTTTTAAAAAATTAATTTGGCTGTTTATTATTACTTCAGCAAGATTGCAGCAAATACTGCAAAGGGAAAAAACAGGGTAATTGGCAAGAGATTAACTGTTTTAAAACAACTAAATTGATGTCCAATGGCAGTTTTGGCTAGATTGTAGCAAGTAGTGCAAAGGAAAAGCCGCACCTATAAGAGATTATTTGTTTTTAACCCCTTAACCTCTTAAGGACACATGACATGTCTGACATGTCATGATTCCATTTTATTCCAGAAGCTTGGTCCTTAAGGGGTTAAACAAACTGAAATGGTGGTTCCCTGTTAGTTTGAATTCAAAATCAAAAATGAAATATTATCACAAATATAAAGGGCTGACTAGATATTAACCAATATTCTTAAAAAAATAAATACAATTAACTTAGTTGATAGAATCATTACAAACGATAAAATCTGTTTATCACCTGAGTAAATAGGGAAGGCTTTTAATGAATATTATGCAAAACTGTATAATCTTACAGATATAACTCAGATATGATTAAAGAATATATTAAATCGGCTAATCTATCTAAATGATCAAATTCACATTTAATTTTTTTAAATAAAGACATTTTTTAGGAAGAGCTTATAAGGGCTATCGATAGACAATAGAATTACAAAACTCCAGGACCAGATGGATTTGGGAATAGATTCTATAAGGTGATGAAAGTTCAAATAATAAGTCATCTAAAGAACACTTTTAACAATGCTGTCTCTAAAGGAAGGTTCCCAAGTGAAATGTTGAAAGCAAACATCTTACCAATACTTAAACCTGGGAAAGATCCAACTAATGTAAAAAGCTATCGCCCAATATCCCTAATTAATGTAGACATCAAGTTATTCTCCTCTATTATTTCCTGTAGATTGAAAGAGGGTTTGGAACATTTAATCAATTCAGACCAAATAGGCTTCACACCTGAAAGAATGGCAAATAATATCAGAAGATTAATTGATGTAACAGATATATCGCAACAAAATTTAAATCTCATGCTGATCCTGTCACTAGATGCCGAAAAGGCATTTGTTAGGGTCAGCTGGGCTTTTATGGAAAACACTTTAGAAGCATTTGGAGTATCAGGTTGGCTTTTAACTGCAATTATGGAACTATATAGAGATCCAATGGCTAGAACAATCAGACCAAACATATGTTCAAACTGGTACAATTTTAAAAACAGCACCAGAAAGGGATGACCGTTATCTTCCATCCTCTACATATTAACTATAGAAGTACTGTCCAATAGAATTAGACAGAGCACAGAGATAAGAGGTTATAAAACAAAAACAAAAGGAATTAAAGCTGTCACTCTATGCTGATGATACCATTTTGTATCTAACAAATCCCTCAGGAAGAGGAAGAATACATATCTTCAAATCATACTTTCTTCCGAAATGGATATATTTGTTTAGGATGCTCCCTTTAACTATTCTGTTGGTTAACAATGGGAAGAACTGCCTTCTCTAATTTTGTGTGGAAAAGAAAAAAAAAACAGGATTAAAAACTCATTGATATCTAGAGGAACCAAAAATGGGGAATTAGGATATCCAAATATAACAAAATATTATGAGGCTGGAATAATTATACATGTAATGATATGTCAGTTAGAGCAAAATAAAACAGAAGCATGGTTTAATATAGAAATGGAAGTCAGTCAATTGAAGGATACAGTAGATCTAATATGGAAAATAAAAAAATGTAAACTATCCAATTCCTATATTCTGAATCAAATTATACCTATATGGTATAAAATTAACAAGAAAATTGATCTGGAAAATAAAATCTTTGACTTTCAAAGTTTGAACTCATTAGAAATAATTATGAAGAACATCTCTTTAAAAACATGGAAAGCCAAACATATAAGTATAATTAAAGATTTAGCTTGATATAATAAAATAAAATATTTCAATATGTTGGTAGAAGAGTTTCAC